TTTCCCCCAAAGTTTCCAGAAAAATCTGCGTCAAATACAAACTCTAATGGCAAGCCATGTCTGCACTCATCACAGCTTTCGATTCAGCTAAGAATCATGCGAATCAAGCGCGTAGCGGTTCAGATACGGCACTCTGTTGGTTTGCGTAGCGCGTTTTCGGCAGCCGGCCGGCCGGCTGCCGCGGCGCATCACTTATTCCGCGCGACAGCGGCCGTGGCGCACCACATCACTTCACTCAAATTGCTCTCACGGCTTTAGTTTTAATCGTAGAAAAATGTTTTTGGTATCATTTTAAACGCGAGGTGATTTCCCATCTCCGCCATTCGAAGGAAAACATCGATTTTCCCGCGTCCTAAAAACTTATTTCAACCCAATAAAATTGCCCTAAAAATTAAAAATTTTCTTTTCCAAAAATAAAAATAAAATTTCCGAGGAATGTGAATATTTTTGAAAAGACTAAAATCTTGATGGTCATAGCTTTCAAATGAGACCAAAAACATGAAAATCGGACGAGTGGTTTCCGAGATATGTCCCGCTAAAAAAGCGTCTGGCCCCCATCTTTAATGGCCGCCATCTTGGTTCCTGCACGGACCCTAGAGTGGTTCCCCTTCTAAAAGGGCTTCTTATGACCATAGGAATGATCCCTGAAAGCAGCAATTTCCAATTAAAAAGTGCAGGGTTTTTTTGGGTACCCCGCGTAGGTACTAAATGCACATTAATGATATACCAAAATGTTCCTTAGAGATAGGAGAGTAAGCATGTAGACCTAATTGAAATTTTGATTAATCCGCCACAGAACTCATGCAAAAACGAAATAAAACCTTGGGAATCAGACGGCAAATTTGATACCACCTGCAATGTCAACTTTAGGCAACCCGCGTGTCAAAGCAGAGGGGTTCAAAGACCCTTGAATCATAGGTAAATTCATTTTGGAGGCTTAGCTAATAGAAAACCAATAAAAATACTTAAAATCCGACTTTTTTTTCGCCGCCCATGACCGACCTCTACCATTGACTTGATCCGCCGTGCGATGGTGCGGGTCACACGGCGCGTGATCCGTATGGGGTCCGGGTCCTTGATGATCATTACTTCCCTGTAATTCGATTCCTACTAGATCCGCTTAGATCATTTCGGTCTACGGAGTTTGAATGAACCCAAGTAGCATTATCATCTACTTTCTAGGTGGCGGTCATCAAGAAAATGTCTACTTTCTAGATAGAACAATTTTCTTGAAAGGAAATAGGTATAAAGTAGATCTAGAAAATAGACACAAGAAAATAGAAAGAAAATACATTTTTTCCTTGCATTTTCTTAAAAGAAAACATCAAGAAATTGGCCAGAAAATAATTTTACTTTCAATAAATTTTCTATCTTTTTTCCAAATGGAAATTTGACGGAAAGACCTATGAAATAGATCTATTTTCTTTGGTCCAGACTTTTGACTCGCAATGTTTTTTATTTCTATTTTCTAGATAACTCTCATTTTCTTGATATTTTCTAGAAGTTCTCTTAATAGTTTTTCCACGAAAAAATTCTATTTTGCTACTTGGGAATTGAAATAACATCTTTGCCTCATTGAGCGGATTTGAGAAAATATATGTAGGTATGCCGTTTAATTTGACACCATCGCTGCGTGACCAAAATCGTACAAATCGAATCGTGCAAAGTTTATCGTATTAGGTACTATAGCATGTTCTGAGACTTGAAGGATGTTTTCCCGCCCGGCAAAATTACGTTGTGGCAACGTTGCCAAAACGTTGCATTTTCGCCATTTACGTATTCGGGCAACGTTGTGGTAACGTTGCCACAACGTGTAATTTTGTCAGCTTGCATGAACGTAATTGGCAATGTGTCTGCAATGTGTTTTAGCAACATAATGGGAATGTTGCAAAAATACGTTTTAGCAACATAATGGGAATGTTGCAAAAATACGGTGAAAAAATTTCGGTGATTTATTTTAGGAGTACTCTGCATTTTTACTCCTAGAATTCAATGTGGACTGCAGAGAAGTGTTTCTTCGGCACCCGAAATTCACTCTAATTGTAAGTCCGAAAGTAGCCGCCGCTCCGCCCGGGTTCCCAAGCGGGCTCCCATCGAAGTACTAACTACGCCCGACGTTGCTGAACTTCAGTGATCGCCCGTGTGTCGCTGCCACTCAGCCACGGACGCTCGCGTGAGAAAAATCGGTTATTTAGCATTAATAAACATCCCTAGATCTGGTTCAATGATAGAAAGCAATGATATTCTTGCATTTCTGTGCATAATTCTACAACGAAGGATACTGAACATAATATTAGGAAGATCAAGTTTTTAAAAAAAAGGAGTATGAAAAAAAAATTAAAAAAGAATTGAATAAATATATTCATTTTATATAAATAAAATTATTATTATTTTAATTATTTATTTAATTATATTATAATTATTTTTTATTATTATAATTGTTTGGTATTTTTATTTTATATTAAATTATTTTCTAATTATTATATTTATTTTTTTATTTTAATTTTTATTTTTAAATTATTTTTTTATTTTTTTTAATTTTATCTTCATTTGTATATTTTTATTGTTAATTTTTTTATTTTTTGAATTATCTATCAATTAATTTTTGTTTATTTTTGTATATACATATACATATTTTTGCGACATTGTATGAGGGCGCATTCCCTTATATTGATTGGAGAAAATCATCTGTTGAGAAACAACAGAAAGGAGAACACCTGAAACGGTGGAAAAGTGTCCCCTCCGATTTGCAGCACAGCATCTGCTTGACCTCACATCTGAGTTCTGAGACCAAAATTACACAGGGATTGATACCTCACATGACACTATATGCGCATTTTAAAAAACCGAAATCCCAGAGGCCTTATTATGGCCGCCATTTTGAAATTTAGGCATTTTGGGGGGTGTTCCGGGGTCGGACCGTGGTAAACTTTTGGTATGTTGTTCAGGAGGACCTACTGATGACGTTTACATAGGAAAAGTTTGTTCAGCTATTTGTTCCGGGTCAAATCGTGTTTCTCCCTGACTAATAATGTTTAACAACGTTGTCACAATATATCTAAGAAATATTTATTGAAACGTTTTTTAATAATGTTCCAGAAACATTTCTAAAAACGTTTTGAAAATATTGTCTAAAATATAATGTCAGGCAACATTGCTGAAACATTGCTTAAACGTTGCTGATTTACCTTTACAAAGCAATATCATCAAAAATGTTGCCTTGCAACGTTGCGGCAACGTACACATTGCTCCCTTGCCGGGCGGGTTCGATTAGCTTTCGAGAAAATTTAAAGAGCTTACATTTACAAGAGAAGTACAATTATTTTTTACCTACCTACTTTTCGTTTTGGATGAAAAAAAATGAAGAATGATACGCAAATGCTTATTTCATTATATATAACTTAAGTTTTAGTATATTTTTGCAAGAAATTGGTACATTTGTATTTCCTATTGATTACCGAATTCATTTCCTTACTTTGGGTGAAAAAATACATAGAAGATGATGAAATAAGCATAATACCCACCCATGCATGTTATTCTCCATTTTTTCCGCTCAGAATCAAATAAAGTATGAAGCTGTATTGTACCTCTCTAGTAAAAAGCTCTTTAAAGTTTCTTCAAAGCAGATCCCATTGAAGCCTTACTTAAGCTTCAGAATAGGAATACAATCTGTAATGATACGGTAAACTTTACAGATGAAATGGAATTGCTGTCACGGGTCTAATTTTGGTTTCCCAAGAATGATGATCAGGGCCGGATCTAGGTTTAATGTGGGGGGGGGNNGTGGGGGGGGGGGAGAGGAGGTGAAAATATCAATTTGGGAGCCCCCCCCCTTTGTGCCAGAGGGTGTGGGGGGTTTGTAGGATCCCCCAGATAGAAGGGGGATTTGGGGGTCCTCCTCCAAGAAAATTTTAAAAATTACAGCGTATATCAGATGGCCGTTTCCAATAGTATTTGACAAAAATTTATCTTCTCAAGTTTGATTTTCGAGGTCTCAAAAGAGCCGCGTCGATGCATAAAGTACACTGGGGACGAAATAACGGAACGAAACTGTTATGATTTAGATACCTACATTATGATTTATTCATGTTCGAGAATGACAAAGGTAAAATGCATAGCGAAAAAGGACGCCGAACAACGAGATGGGATACGAGTAACTGACCACTGGTAGCGGTGGCTGTTCCTCATTGGCTGATAGAGAGTGGTTCTTGATTGTCCCCGCATAGAGCGGGAGATACAACTCTAACACTTGGAGTATCATTCTTCAATATATGGTTTATGCGTACTTACTAATGAGCACTGATAGATACCTACTTACACTTCCCATTATGCAACTGGTATGAATATTAGGTATACCGAAGGGAAATTGAAGCTCCAGTGAATGAAGCAGGAGGTGTGTAACATTTTTGTGATTTCGAGAAAGACGAGTCTAATGTTGAAAAATTTTCTTGGGATCTTGCCCCACAAAAATGGTTAGGAAGAGTACATTAAAACTTTTAAAAGCTGTGTTTTGAAAATCTCATTTTGCATTAAGTATACTTTGAATAAACTAGGTTTTTTTTTTCAAGACTACCCCTATTATTCCAATTTTTCTAATACCTATCCCTTCCCTCCTTCATTCACTGAAGGCCACTAGGCCGCCGTGAGACAATTGCCTCAAGTCTAGTACCTCCTGATGGACGATTAAGATGATAAGTAATCCATCATCTTCAAAATTCTTGTTTAATTTTCTCCAAAAATTCGTCTCTTCAATAATCCGTTCAGAAATAAAATCCACACTCCTATGCTCCATTCCAAACTTCAATATTTCTTCATTCTCATGCTTTCTCTTTAAGTCTGCGGGCTTTTGTTCTTCTTTGTAAAACAATCCAGTATAAAAATTAACAGTATGCTTGATATATCAGTGTTTAATAGAAAAAAGCAAATAATGACAGAGGATTTAAATGTAGACATCATTTTTCAATAATTTTATTTACCAATAATATTTTTTCTTTTTTTAGTCCGAAGCAACCGTATCGAGTTTTCAACACATGGATGGGTGATCCATCTAAATTGCTGATATTGGAAGAAGTGCTGAATGTGATTAAACGGGACTCATTACTTGAAAATGTGCGTATAACAGGGGATGTACTGAAATCAGGACTTCTGCGCCTTGAAGAGAAGTTTCCGCACCTGGTGAATTCCACGAGGGGTAGAGGCACCTTTCTCGCCTTCAACGCAGCTTCAACAAAACTTAGAGATGACATTGTTGCCAATCTCAAACAAAAAGGTATTTTGACATTATTTCTTTAAAACATGGCACTGCTGTGCAACGGTATGAATTTTAAAAGACCTTTGTCTTCTAATAGGTACTGCAGCTGCAGTTATTTATCAGAATCTAGGAGCTCTCCTAAATAAGAGAGAGCCTGTTTAAGCTGGTATAGTCTCCCAGAGAGGAGATTTTCAGGTCATAGTCGGAAAATTGAGGGATAGCATCAAAATCTTTTGATGACGCACATAATTACGTAGTGATAGGGCTCTAATACATAAAGCTGCGTTGCTAAAGTCTCCGGAGAGCTCTCCGGAGTTACCCGGAGACGTAAACAACTGTTGTTCTGACTCCGGAGGAATTACCCGGAGACTTGCTACGTCATGCTACGTCATGCTACGTCAGTCTCCAGACCGCTGCTCTCCAGCTCTCCGACCTCTCGAAGTCGGAGAGCTGGAGACCAATACGTAGACTGACGTAAGAATATAGGCGTTTAGCATTCTCGCGCCTTTTTTTCTGCTTATGCAGTGAGTTTTAGAATTTTCAAATATTTAAAGATGAAAGTGTTTGTGGATTTCATTTTTAACTTTGGGAATGTAGAGACTTAACCTAAAATTGAAGTGTAAACAAAACAGAATCCGGTGGACCCAAAGACATAAAGACGGAGCGCTCGTATCTAAAAGCACGGGGAAAAAGTGAAGCTAGGTTCGGCGCTGCGCGCTTGTGTGAGTGTGTAAATGAGCGCGGGAATCCATGGCGGCAAACGGAAATTTGATTTGAACTTGTCCTCTTGATTTTTCCTTATTTCTTCTTCGAAACGTGTTTTAAATGCTTAAAACGATTATATTAAGAAAGTTTGGTCTGCGTCCTAATATATTACACCTACTTTTGCTCGGTAACAGGCAGTAATCTCAGATAAAGTTAGTTTTTCTTCTGCTTATGGTGGTTCTGCAGGTTCAAACAGGCCGTTACAGTTCTAGATCTACGTTACTCCCAAATGAAATCAGTCGGTCGACGACGGACCGAAACTAACCTAAAGTTAATAAAATATGAGTGTGTACCTGAATTTGGGCAAAAATCAACCTAAAATACTTTGTTTCCGCAATTTTATTTATTAGTTCCCGCCCTACATTTGAATTCAAACTTGTCCCGATTTCGCCGCCAATCCTCTAGCCAATAGTAGAGGTGATTGAAAAGAAGCTCTAGAAGCTTCATTTTTTGCTTTTAGTGTTCCGTCTTTATGTCTTTGGGTGGACCATGGCAGACCCAACAACATGGAGAGACTGGGGAGATGACGTCAACCCTCCGGGTAATTCTCCGAGACTCTCCGCTCCCAATCCTCCCGAGAGCTCTCCGGAGAGTTTCGCAACGCAGCTATCGGAAGGGAATACAGCGCTGATGACATTTGCGCTCTTGCGCTGCTACCTCAAAACATATGTCTACGTAAAAGTACCGACGACGAAGTGTAAGAGTTTTCCATGCAGAGACGTTTCAAAGTTTCAATGCATAAGTAAACTAGTCCTTCCATATACACTTTCATACACAAGGCACTCACCCTCAAAGAAGCGTTTACTGACCATTTTTCAGATTGTGCACTGAATGGTTGCCGGAATGCCGGGATTCTTGGCGTCGCGGCGACCGCGTTTTATGGTCCATCAGTCCAGGGTGGAGCGAAAAACATTTTTTTCGAATTCCGATGACGGGTGGTGAAGGGAAGTGTTGCCTTGCTAAGCAAGAATGCCATAAATCCATCTAGATTTTCCCGTGTTTTTCGGAACTTACCACTTAATAAATAAAAACTGTTTTACCCAGGCACCTCAAATTTTCAGGTTATATAAATTCTTGATAATGCGAAAGAATTCTGTAAAAACATTGTTCCAAGGTACCTACACATGTTTTCTGCTACGGTACGTTGTTTCCAAAAAATGTAAAATGGCGTTTACGACGTTTTTGCGTTGCACGACAGAGTTGCCTTTTGGCATCAGATGGACGAGGAAAAAATCCTGGCTCCATAGGACAATGCTTTCATTGAAAACATGGAGCTCTAACTTTCAAAATCTCAAATTTTCGTTTTACAGTGTTTTTTTCGAAGATAATTGCTGGATGATTGAAAAGACACAAGTGACACAAGCCATACATGTTATCGTGAGTAATTTGAGTCAAGGAATCGATTTTTGTGGTCGAAAAATTGATATATCGATTTAAAATATCGTTTTTCGCGACACTTCGTCCAAAAACACGATTTCGAGTGTATATCTCAAGTAACTTTTATTTATCATACAAGCCTTCGATAAAGCGAAATTTTGACATCCAAAATAGATTCCTCGTGAAAAAATTCACGGAGTAACAAGTTTACACCTGCGTAAAGTACGCAGAAATGTCAAGTAAGTACGTAAGTATTCAAACAAGTATTAATTCACGTTTCTCAAAACAAGTTTCATGAATTGAATTGAAATCGTTCAATAATTTTACCGTTTGCTCTAGGAATTCAGTCAGGAGGATGTGGTGAGTTAGCTGTTCGTCTGAGACCCGCGCTAGTCTTCCAACCGCATCATGCGAATATTTTCCTGGATATTCTAGATCAGGTTCTGCAAAATTCCAATAAATAAAGTCCGTTGCTATTCTTTCAGCAGGATCTTCATTTCGGCTCGTTTCTTTCATTGAACCTGAGTTTTTGTCAAATATGTCTATGTGTAATAATAAATATCGCAATTTATTGCAACTTAAGCGATTACCTACACCTTGACGATAAGATTAATGCTGTAAGCGGCAAAGTGTTGCGTGCGTGGGTATTACCTACTTACTAATTGAAGGAACGCCTCCGCTTGAACTTCATAAAATTGAAATATGTCGAAATTGTTCTTTCCATTCCAAAGAGCCTGTAGGTACCTACCACTTAATAGCCTAATAAAGCCTAATAGGTACTCGGAGCTTACCTCATTGGTGTATGAATCGGCATTTGTTGACCAAATCATTACCTGAAAATGGTTCAAATTCATGATAATAAAAAAAGAAGAAAATACTCGAGCAATTTATCGCATTCAACAGTAACTATATTTCAATATTTGTGTTGTTTTGTGTTACAGTACATCTGTCTTAATAAATTAGCCTTATCCTTTTTAATAAGTATTTCTTGCGAAAGGAAATGGCTACGAGAAATTATAATTTTACTGGGGATGAGATTCAATCTTGGAATTGAAGGCATGTAAGCTTCTGATCATCATGATGGACTTAAACTGGACATGACAGACATGATGGACTGTATTTAAATTTTTTAAGAACCGCAAGCTCAATATGGTGGACTTATTTTGAAATCGAAGGTTTCAAAATGAACGATTTCTAAGCTAAGTTAAGAAATACGTATGTACTTTAAAACATGAATATTTTTCCCTATTTCTATCTCCATTTTGTTTACAGTGCAAGTTCAGAGTTCTTAATGATATCCTTTCTTCCGACAGATATTATTATTTTATTACAATCACAGCAACCAAGTCTTCCTACTTAAGTCTTCCAGTCTAACATAAAGACTGCAATATCTATTTTAAAACGCTTTAATGTATATTATTCAACTTGTTTTTTATTTATTTAATTATTTTTTAATTAGGGACATTGACTTGACTCAAATTTGTAACTTTTGAAGTCTTGCTGACACACAAACCAAGATAAAATATAAAATTTGTAACATTTATTCTCTGTTGTAATTTAAAATAAAACCTTGATAAAACAACCGAATACAGAATGACGATTTATGTTAGTCCCATTAAAACCTCTACACTGCCTATATGTATATAGAAAATTTTGTTTGTATAAACCTCCGGCGGGTAACGCACAGGTAGCGCGCCGCACGCCCTCTCTCGCGTATAACCACCGAACTATACCCCCACCATTCCTCTTCTGGCGGCTGGATTAGATCACATAGCCTCAAGCCGACGCGAAGTCCTGATATCCAAGGAAGGTTTGAGCGGGTCCAGTTACAGATACACTTGCTCTCCACCTCTCGCCTCATGTGCTTAAACAAACGAAAGTTTGTACGTAATATAGTCCGTGCAATGCTCATCTACTGCCTCAGGAATACACAAAACCATCTTTTGAAAAAAAAAATGTCAAGCTTTCTAGGGTGTCCGTTTTCTTTATTAGGAATCCTTCACTCCAGTGGTATTTGTTCTTTGACCATCTGAAAAACAATAAGGAAAAATTAAAATTTTTAAATTAAGGAAACACGCAAACGATTCGTGTCCTGTGACATTTTGTAACTTACAAATCAGATATGAAACATGCGATAATCACCACTTGCTTAGAATTGATATGTTGAAATTTTCTCCGGGGTCAAAATTTGTCCCAGATCGTTTTAATGTTTTCTGTTCTTCATTTATTTTTCAAAAAGAAAGAACAAACCCGTGTTCACCTTGAGGTTTAGAGATCATTATTAGACAGTTATAACAATGATGGCGTGCATGAAGCACTATAAAGACGAATTTTCTCTGGAAAACGGCTCCTACGAAAAAAAATTGCCGCATAATGCAGCCAGAAACATCGATTTTGGGTCTGTAGATCAAACCTTTAGGGTGCCTTTATAGCGAGAGTAGAGACAAATGTGAAATTCCGCGCAGGCTTTCACCAATGCCTCCGCAAATTAGGTTGGAGCCCAAAAAGGCAGCCAACCTATGATATCACATTACCCAGATCGATTTATTATTAAAATTATAACGACCTGTAGATTGTAAAGCACGTAAGTATTTTACTTAGTTTTTGCATAATTTTACTCATTTTTGCGGAATCACGCTTTTTTATGAACATTCTTGACCATCTTGGTTTGAATGGGAATCTAAAGATTGGCAGTGAAATTTTATAGGTTAGAAGGCCGAGTGCCCTTTTGAGCCCTATGCACTTTGTGAAGCGACCTGTTCATACTCTCGCTATATCTACAAGCACTCTAATCAATGTACCTCAACAAAGAAGGCCTGAAATGGGTAGGGCGCAGGACTCAAGTATTAGGGTGCATTTGCCAACCACGCACTGGGCCATCGACGTCAAAAAGATTCGAATACTCTGATCTTGAAGATTTCGCTGTTAATAAGTGTGTATGGTTCTTTCGGCAAAAATTGTCTCTTTTTTGTTGTCTCGCTATACTCGGCTAGAGAAAACCGCTTTAAGGGGAGGGGTAAGCAATATGAGTTTTGCCTCGAGTTCCAAACGAAACGAAACATTTTGTAGCTCAGGCCTTTTTTACCAACCCACCTCCGCTTTGAGGATCGCTCGTTTGATCCAACGATTGTTTTCTTGGGTACAAATGTGCGAATGTGTTTTTTGCAATTACAAGTTTTGCTCAATGCTTTCGTTTTCGTAATGACGTCAAACGGTGGGTTTTAAACATTTTTAACGCGGTTAACATACCACCCGGTCTTTTTTTTTCGGAAATGTCAACAGGAAGGCCTACTGATTGAGGAACAACATGCCGTGAAATCTGTAGTTGGTCCGTTTCTGAGGAAATGCGATTTTTCGCTTTTTTGGCGGGTATTTCAGGTCAAGGCCCTGAATAAGTCAAGTTAAGCTGTTTTTGTGACCTGTAAATGCATATCCTATACATTTTTAGTCAATCAAGTATCAGTAGATACCTATTTGTGCATATTGCCCTAAATTTATATCTTAAAATCCACGATTTTCGGGTTTTTTGGGGGGGCCCTCTCGCGTTTTTAAGGACGTTCTGGGCTAGATTGCTAAAAAAATTGAAAAGAACTGGGGGTAGAGCCAGAAAAATTTACTTACAACATCTTCACGTAATTTAAACGTTAAAAGGCACCTACTCCTCCCCACTCCCCCTCCTACTCCCCTCCTCCTACCCCCCTCCTCCTA